TCTCAGGGCCAGCGCTGTCCTTCTCTTTCCCGTTGTTCTTGCTCAGTGCTCCGGAAGTAACCTCCTTTCTCTGTTTCCCCAGTCCTTTCTTCCTTCTACAAATATTTATTTAGCAACTAATATTTGCGAACCTGGCGCAAGGTGCTGTGGGTAATAGAAGGATGAGGCAGACAAAGTTGAATTTTAAGCAAAACTCAAAGCTCTGCCACTTCAACTGTGGGAGAGGAAGGACCCCCCCCGTACTCTCTCCAGCGGGCTCAGCCATTGACAAGGCTGAGAGTTATTCAATTTCTGGTGTGTCCAGGACCGACTACCACCATTGATGTTTTCCTTATGCATCCGGAAGGGAAAATGGGGTTCCTTCGTCTATGTGGCAGGAGAGAACTTGGCTTTACAGGTGCAGTATCAGCTGTACTCCATAGTCATGTCTCTTACCAGGTAATATGTACTCTTTTTTTTCTTTAAAGATTTTATTTTTCCTTTTAGAGCATGTGTGCTTGCTGGAGAGACAGAGAGAGAGAGAGAGACAAAAAGTGAGAAATCACCCACAGGGGTGGGTGACCACACCCACCACAATCCCGTCTCCTTTTTCTCCTTTCTGGATTTGGGTCATGCATACACACGTGCCCGACATGAGTCTCAAGCCACCAGGTCTGAGTCTTTAATTGTAGTTGACCATGTGGGAGTCCAGTGCCTTAACCACTATGCCGCCTGCTGGCCGCCCAACCCAATGTATTAGACAGGTCTGGGTTGAATCCCAGCTCTGCCACTTACTGTGTTAATTCAGACTTCTGGCATGTACAGATGGACCCAGGAACTGAACTCTGATCTCCCACATGGTCTCCAGTACTGCAGGGCAGAGTGCCACTGCGGGTGGGCTGTGTTTTCTATACACAGTTTTCTGGAGAGAGACAACGTGGCTGACTTTGTTGGTATTTCTTATGGTAAATGCTTTAAAATTGTGTAACTAAGTGGCTGGTATCTCTGCCATCTCTGGTATTGTTGTTGACTGAATCAAGAACAGGCCCTAGGATTGGCTTGTGGTACGGTGGTTGAATGCTGGACACGGAGAGCCAGATTCCACATGGCTGACTACGGTTGGAGTTCCAGCTCCAGTGGCTTATGTGTTAGCCCAGGATCCTGTGGGATGGAGAGGTAGAGGAGGGACTGCAGCATGACTGTGTCCCACTGGAGGGTCCATATACACTCTCTGCCTAGTGAGTGAACAGGTTCACTGGCGGTATCATTAAAACAAAATTTTTTTTTAAAGAAATGGGACCTAATGTGGGGGCATGACCTAATGGGCACGTTCTGACTAGGTCAGGCTGCTGTTGACTGACTTAACGCGTCTACCAGGGCTGGCTGGCTGGAAGTCACCCATTCATCTAGCTGGGGCTGGAAGCAAAGCAGCGACAGCATTGCAGAGGGTTTGAGGAGCGAGTTTAGATCCCAGCAAACATCACGTCGGGAGCACGATCAGCCAGCCTTTCCTCCCTCTGCCACATGGCGCTCAGCATCTGCTCATAGCAAACACACCCACGCCTGTTGAGACTGGCATCTGAAAGCTGTATTTTTGGTAGGATGCATGTCTGCACAGTCCAGTGAGACAGGAGCTAGAAAATCCTCATCGCTCCCAGGGAAGCTTATCTGCCATACTGACTCACAAAAACGGGGTTACTTCCAGAGGAGCATATTGTTAAATCATTCTGACTAAATGATCACTCAAGAGTGCAATGGGATCTTCCACCAGAAGGACAAGCAGCCAACGGTGCTTCTGTTTCTCCTCTGGCAGAATGGAGTGGAGGAGACGGCTCCCTCCCAAGTGGAACAATCAGGCGTGTTCCTGGATCCAACCACCAGGGGTCAGGTTTTGACATTTCTCAGTGATGCCATAGAGTTTATGTCATATAACTCTACACTGTAACCTTACAGTAGTCTCGCCATCAAAATGTCTTCTGTGGCTAGGTGCACATCATGTCCACGGATGAAAATGAATTCATTATACAGCAGTATCATTAGCCGAGGACTTGGTCTAGCAGAAGTCCTGTCCTCTGCTTCCAGCTCCAAGATGTTGAGCAATCTCTGGGGCTTCTGGAATCGCCGTTCACTCCTCTGTACACCTGGGTTACTCCTCAGAGTTGAGGTAAGGCTAAAATGAGAAGACAGATGGACGCACTCTGCAGATCTGGGGCCACCCACATATTATAACAACTACTAGCAACTTATTGGGCGTGGGGCTCTTTGTCGTGAGGTTGGGGAGGCTAAGAAGGCATTTTAAAAGGCGAGAAGTTTGATACATGGGCCAAGTTTGTGTAAAGCCATCTTCTGAGTGATGGGATTTAAGGAGGGTAAATGTTTCAGCAACATTAAGTGTTTTTCATCAAAACATTTTTGGAAATTAAATGAATCAGAGTTGAAGAAGTGGTTGGTGATCGAGAGAAGAGATGAGGCGGTAGAGGGGGCACAGACAGGTTCTGTCTTCAGAGCCGTTCCTTAGCAGCGTGATGGGGGCCGCCTTCATAACTCAGTAGAAAGTACTTTCACATTAATACTATTTCAGCCTCTAGACTGAGCTCCATGCTTAAAACCTGAATTAGACCACACGAGAGAGTCACTTACACAGTTTTATCATGTGATAAAGACATTCCAAATGCTCGCATGTGCTCATCAAACCTAATGTGTTAGATGCTAGATGTTCAAAACATGAGGGTGAGAAGCCTACCTTCCAAAAATGCTTATTCCCATGTGGGAGCCAACCACACCCACACATTCCCTTCCTAGAGCAAGGTGTGTGTGCGATGAGAGCCGAGTGCAGAGGACGTGTTGTGGGAGGACCACGTCCAGCCAGGGAGTGGAGGGGGAGATGGCTAAGATGAGTTTTAAAGAAGGGACAGGAAATTAATCAGGTGAGCAATTACTGTCCAGGAACTAGTCGGGAAAATCTGACACAAAACATGATATAATAAATTTGGACACTTTAAAGGCCTTCTTATAAAAAAGAAACACGAAGAATTATGATCCACTTTAGATATAATGCAGGTCACAGTTATGGTTTCCAAACCCGTGTTTTCCATCTCGGCGTATGAGACTTTCAAGGGGTGTTTTTCTTCACGTCTGTGATTCTACTGAAGTGGTCTGAAAGGGTCAGGCATTGCCTGAAAATAGATGATGAGTTCAAAACGGAAGGAGCAGAAAGCTGACGGAGACTAATGCTGCTTCCACTCCGAGAGCCCCGGCTCAGAATGGTCTTCTCAAAAGGCAGCTTCGGTCTGGTGATGAGGCTTTTGGATTTCAATTAAGTCTTCTAGGTCAAAAGGAATAAAGCAAAACCGTGACCAAAAAACAGAACACCCCAAACGAAGTGTGTTTTCTGGGAATCAATGGCTTTGTAGCCTGGGGCAAGCTGTTCCTGCTAAATGAGACTGTTTCCCACATGCACTAAGAAAGCCATCTGAGGTGGGGATGGACACGCTATGCCTTCGCCTGCTAACGAGTCTGCCACGCCCACGGTGCTGTACTGGCTGCAGAGAACCCACCAACACTGCCCACCCTGCCGACCCCCACCCCTGCTTTGCAAAGACCTAGTCGAATAGCGCTGAGAGAGTAGGGAGCCTACAGTCACTGCAAGTCAAAGGTCTTTTCATCCTCCTCTTCTCTTCCCTTTCTCCCTCCTGTCTCCCCCTTCCCTACCCCCCTGCCCTCCTATTTTACTTCCATTTTTTTCTTTTTTCTTTTCTTTAACCCTGGATACAGTAATGATGATATTCCTAAGGAGAGAAAAGGACTGATAGTGGTGGCAGGGCTGTGAGCTCAGGAAGCTGCCCCACCGGCGTGCGCTGTTCATCACTGTGGACGCCTGCTCACGGGAGCCTCGTCTGCCACAGAGCGAGTCCACATAGGTTTCTCCCTCCGTTTCTTTTTTCCTGTTCTTATGTCGACTGCTCCCCGCTCAGCATCTTCTTCATTTTTATTTCGTTTTTCTTCCCTTTATAACCTCAGGAATATAGGGCTGAATTAATTCTGCTTCTTAGTGTGCCACTCCATACTCTGGTTTTTGTGATGTAAACTTTTATTGCAGTACAATGCATACACAGAGAATAGCACACAGTAGAAGGGCATGACTTTGTGAATGTTCACGAAGTAAACAAAGTGAACCAGCAGCCAGACGAAGAAGCAGAACACAACCTAAAGCCTGACAACCTCCTCGAACCCCTTCTGGTCATAGCCCTTGCCCTGCCAAACCCTATTCTGGGTTTCAATATTGTGGATTGATTTTGCCAGTTTTTGCATTTTTACAGAAATGAAATTTTACATTGTGTTTTCTTTTCTGTTTGGTTTCTTTTGCATAACTTTCTGTTGGTGAGATTAACTCACCAACATAACCCTGTCTGAGTATTCTCATCACAAGGTAGTGAGAACATGCTGAAATGTAATTCTTCATTCTACCCCTGATAGATCTGTGGCTTGTTTCCAGGTTGGGGTGATTACAAGTAGTTTGCTACAAACATTCTCACAGCAAACCTATATGTGCATTTCTGTTTAGCAGACACCTAGGAGTGGGGGCTGTTAGTAACTGTTGCCGAAATGTTTCCAGAGTGGTCAAACCACTGGGAATGCTTGAGAGTCTGGGTTGCTTGCCTGCATTTGACACTGTCACTGCCTGCCTTTTGGCTTTGCTGGTCGTTCTCTGTGAGAGTGCTCTCTGCCCCTAGCTACTCCATTCCACCCAGAACTGGGAGTCAATACTTTGTTTTAAAAAATCTATGTTACTGTGTACCTATAGCTCATTGCTCCTAACTGACACATGGTATCCCATAGTGTATAGTTATTCATCACATTAATCCATTTCCCTAGTGGTGAACTCTTTAAGTTGTCTCCAATTTCCTGCTACCTCAGTCAATTATGTGATTAACAAGCTGAAAAATTGCTGGATTTTAGGGCATACCATTTTTACTTTGCCTAAGTACCGCCATATTGTTCTCCGTGATGGATGAGCCAGTGTTCATGGAACCAAAAGTGCAGGAGGGTTTACGTTTCTCCAGGTCTTTCCAACATTTGTCATTTGAGTTCTAGATCTGAAACATTTAGATGGTCAAAAAGTGGTATCTTATTGTTATTATTATTTTAAAAAATTGTTATAGGACACATGCACTTGCCAGAAAGTGAGAGAAAGAGAAAGTGAGAAAGCACCTCCCAGGGGGATGGCCATGCCACATCCCTTCTCCTCTATTCTCCTCCTGGGGTTTTGGGCAGGCATGCACACACACCAGGTGTGTTTTCTGAAGTCACTGGGTCTGGGACTTGAACTGTGTTGTAGGCCATGTTAACCACTATGGCACTTGCGATCTCCTTACTGTTATTTTAATTTGCAGATCTGTAACTGCTAAGAAAGTCGACCACTTCTTTATGTAAGCCAACAGTCTTCCCTCTTCTACGAG